ATCACGACGTTTCGGAGGCAACACAACCTTCCGTCTTCAGGTGGAACCGTCACAGCCACGACAGCTGTATCAAGTAAATGAGAGATTGCAAGAGCTACCACTCCGTATATATAATGGTTGGAGAGGGGGGAAGGGCCAAGTACGGCACACTTTTTATTCATATGGTAAGGTGAGGCTTAAGAGGGTGAGCCTTTGTTATGGAGAGGTACGGTTTGTGACTAAACCTGGCCTACATAACAATAGTGTGAAAAGGAGAAAACAACTAAACATGGTATTTCCTCTTCGTCATCAGACACAGTTCCATATCTTTTTCAGTGAACGGCGTATTCTTCAAATGCGTTTGGTGTTGGTGGTGGATTAACATGAATGCTGGTTCATCTTCTTGGTTCTTTCGGTAAAGTCACGTAGAAGGGAAGTAATAAAATAATAAAAATAAAACATAATAAAATAATTCTCACGACGTTTCGGCCACAACGCAAGCATCCGTCAAGAAGATGAATTCCTGCAGGAAATAAAGATGATAATAACGGGTTTTTTTTCCTGTCAATAATGGAAAATAGATTTTGACATTTGGCTTAACTGGATTTTGTCAGAAAAAAAAACATTAAGCTTGGCTTACAATTTTCTTCCGGCTCCAAAATCATTAACGCTGTAATTGATAAGAAGGTTAAAATGGTTTTAATATAATCTGTCTTTGAAATAGAGTTACGTGACTCAACGAGGCTTTCCTTGATAAATAAAATATATTGTTTACACCAATGTTAGCCTTTAGTCAATCCACTGCTGGATGAAGGTTTCCCCCCACAACCCTGGAAGAATGATGGGCTGAGCCAATCTTCAACCAGAATTTTAACTCACAGCCTCTGATTGTTGGGGGGTGGGGGGGGGGGTTGTTTGACCATATTTTTATTTTATAATATTTCCATATATATATTTACCAGGTAAGGCCGACTGAGCTAAGAGCTCTTGTTCAGAAGTGACCTGGCTACGTGTGCGCGTCAGTGAAGATGTAACGGGACCAGAACCGGTACGGGCATTGCCCACCATTGATATCGGCTGTAGCCAGAAATCGAATTTCGGGTCACTGGATTCTTAGCGCAGTGCTCTAACGACAACTCCCCTGTCCATTTGAGGTACAATAGAACACTATCGCAACATCTCCAATTATTCACAGGATCTTTTTTGTACACTATTTATTTACACATTATCAAAATTCTAAATCTAAATACATCATTTACTTTGCAATGTGGTCCGAGTAACAAAAAAAAAATCCACTGGAGGGCTTTCCATAAAATATTATAGGGAAGTGATTTCCCCCTCCACGAAATTTTTTGCAAGAGTGAGAAAATAAAAAAAATTAAGAGTGGGGTGGGGGGGGGGTAATCCGTCAGGGTCAACTGCCTGGCTTTAAAGAGAGAGTCTGTGCGGCCTTACACAACTAGGCCAAATTAAAACCTTAATAGACTGCAGAGAAATGCAACTCACAATTACATTTCCCAATGCCTGCCAGTCTAATGATTACACGAAAAATAACACAACGTAGTAAATAACATGATTTTGGGGGGGGGGGGGGATAACATTGCATACGCAGGTCATGTAAGGTTGTAGCAGCGCCACGGTTTAGTACGGCGATATCGCGCGCGGCGTGTGTTCTCATTAAAGCGTTCACAAGTCGACTGTGAGATAATGACACCGTAATACTTAGCGCGTGGTTTGTGTAATCGTTTAACGCGAACGTGTGAATTTTTAAATTGAAAACGGAAAATTTGCGCTCATTTGCCAGCCCGGTGTGTGTGAATCGCCTGAACTATTACGTCTGGCCGTGTAAATAATAACGAGCTGGTCCTCGGTGCCACTCTTTACCAACGATTTAAAGCTTTCATGACTGCAGGGATTCATCTTCTTGGTTCTTTCGGTAAAGTCACGTAGAAGGGAAATAATAAAATAATAAAAATAAAACATAATAAAATAATTCTCACGACGTTTCGGCCACAACGCAAGCAGCCGTCCTCAGGTGAAGACCAGGTCTGTCGGGGAGACAGCGTCTGAATGAAACACCACCACGCTTGGCAGCGTACATTTAAGCTGGGTTGGAAGGGTGGAAGGGCGCCTTGACAAAATAATTTGCATATCAAGAGGAATTTAGCATATTTATGGGAAATGCAGGTATGTGATTAGTACTACTTGTGAAATGCGTAGGAGGTGGGTGGGGGGTTTCAAAGTCATATTATGCCCGTGCATTACAACGTCCAGCGTGTGGTGAGGCATCCGTCACACACTCCTCTGTGACTGACACGGCGTGGGAATGCCTTGATCCAGCAGTCTACCGACACAGTTGCAGCAAACGAATCAATTCGTGAATTGTTGCGTAAACGCATCCTGGTCACTATAGTGAATAGCCCAATACTTAAACTGGGGCCATGACTCAGAAATTTGATAATGATGGGTCGAAATCGGTGTCACGAGTATCAATAACGTGCAGTAATGAGGACCTCCAGTCAATGTGGGTGCTTTGACATGGTCGGTGGCTTTGGTCGAATGATAAAACAATACCAATACACAACATCTGGTGATTGGCCTATCCTGTGGGCTTGCGCCAGATAGTCGCTCACAAGAAAGTTAATGTATTCTGAGTAATAACGTAAGCAGCATTTCTGTGCGGGTATACAGATTTAATTTATTTTGAAATTGAGGTAGTGACGGTTCATATTCTTGGTTCTTTCGGTAAAGTCACGTAGAATGGAAATAATACAATTATAAAAATCAAACATAATAAAATAATTCAGACTCTGTCTTCTCGACAGGCCTGCTCTCCACCTGAGGACGGCTGCTTGCGTTATGGCCGAAACGTCGTGAGAATTGTATTTTATTATGTTTTGTTTATTTTCTTTATTTAATTATTTCCATTCTACGTGACTTTACCGAAAGAACCATGAAGATGAATCCCTGCAGTCACGAAAGCTTTAAATCGAAATGTAGTGACGGTTTTGTATGTAATTTTCTTACAGCCCAAATAGTCGCGCCTCAGATTCTCGGCCGCTATTGCCGCATTGTAACCTCAGCTAACCACGGGCTGCATCAAATTACCATTCAGTCGATGCGGGCTGAAAAATGCGTGCTGTATTAATTGAAGTGTTGCAGCACACCTTTGTCATCGTAATTAAATTTCAAGCCACAAGCCACTGAACAGGAACTGGGCATCTCGGGAGAGACTCAGGCGGTGCTACGGTGAACACACAGTGACATTTTCCTTTTTTGTTTGATGAATCCTGTCAGGATTGCAAGTTGAGCTTCTTGTAATCTACCTAAAGCCACGAGCGTGATTTATGTTTTGTAATTTTGAGAAAATTCCCAAGGAGAGGGCCGCACTCTCTATGAAGCGCTGGGCACAGCTGCATCCATGTGCAGTGCTCGCCTCGCGGTGGGTTGTCATTGCCGGGTAGATAAGCGGGCCTTGGCGTATGTTCCAGGCAGATAGCACAAATTAGACTGTGACACAAAGTCCTTTGGTCGTTCAGGGTAGGTGTTTTATTTTAGTTTTGCTCTCTCTCTCTCTCACCGTTTTTATTTCTCATTATTTATTTTCTTTCCCAATTATGGCTTCACCTTTTGTCGTCCTTTTTTTTATTCTCTCACTTAAAAAAAAATTTGCCCGAAGATTTTACTTCAAATCAGATGCCGCTATGGTGCAACTGTGTTAGCACGGTGGATTTACAATTCAGAGTTCGCCAGTTCGACCTCCCCCCCCACCATCCGGAGCGACAATTGAACCATTGGGCAGATTTCTGAAATGCCCACGCCTGCTGTCCGCCCAACAGTCTAAATGGGTTCAACGCAGTTCGTTAATAAATCGGGTGCTCCCTCCTCTTTGTTCCAAGGCGTTTGGCCACCGTGGAAGAAGCAGGCCAAAATGTCCTCGAGTGGAGGCCAATCCTCCAGCTGTGATGCGAGCGAGCAGTTGCAGGACTGCCCTCTTTCTTTACCTTCTCGTCGTCAATTGTTGTTCTTATAATGCATCAGTCATAAATGTCAGACGCTTACATCTTTAAACCGTTATTTGAATGGTGATGATGATGATAATAGTAATAAAATACACAGCGAGAAAACACAAGAGATTGGTGCCAGAAAGATGTGGCCACTACTTGAGCATATCGACACAAGACGGAGAGGAGAGTGGAAACAAATGACGATTTGAAGCTTTCGTGACTGCAAGGATTCATACTCTTAGTTCTTTCGGTAAAGTCACGTAGGTAAAATTTTTTTTTTTTTACCTACGTGACTTTACCGAAAGAACTAAGAGTATGCAGTGGACACCTCTGGGCCATCTGCCCATGGATAGCGATGACGACGACGATGATGAGAAGCTGGATATGAGCACACACCCTGGGAGCAAAGTCAGTGGTGCTTATATCCGAAGTAGCGTGCTTCTATCGGAGGTGTTCATTTGCCATTCTCCACCAGCGGATTGCTTGTATAAGTTGTAAAAACACTTTAGTTTCTACAGAAAAGCAGTTTTGACATGGCACGTCTGTTCTTGGCGAGTGTGCCCTGCATTTTGAGTGAAAGTGAAAAATTCCAGTTTGTCACCGGTTGCTGTGATTTGTAACTTTGATCTTTATCCTCTTGCCGGTAGTTACATTTTGAAAGTGCAACTTTATTGAGGGACGACTGTGCGTTGTTGTGGTGTGGTCTGGGACTGCGTTTGTTGTTGTTGTTGTTTTGCTGCCTTGCCCTAGCTTGCATTAAGTGTTGAAAATTGGCAAGAATGTTCGTACTATTGCAGTGTGTACTTATATGTTTTATTCATTTGAATATTCTATTCTGCACTCCTATCATTCTTTGGGGGTTTGTTTGTCGTTGTGACTTGCTCACCCGCCACCCTACTGGACATCTGTGAAAAAGAGCTTCATAGCTCATCGGATTCTTCCTCGTAGTCTAATCAGAGATTCAATTGTGATGCTGACGTTTGTTCTAAAATAAACGTGGCCTCTCTTTCACAGCGACGTGCGTCTTCGGGAACCGGGCGATCCTCTCCGGCGCGAAGGTGGCGGTGAGGAAGGAGAGGGAGCAGCAGTGTCAACTTCACGAGTGCAGCGTGAGCCGTACTATCCTACCACATTGCCACAATTTATGTTGTGTTTTTTGTTGTTGTTTTCTTTGTTTACCTAAGGAACGTCTCGCTGAGTCAGTGGGAGTCCTGCTGAGTTTCACATGCGCAGACGATGACTGCCACACATGCTTCTCCAATTGAGTAATTGTGTCGATACGTTTTTGCGGAATTGATCAAAATTCGGGCCATGATGCCAAGACACGTGGAACTACACTCTGTCCGTGTAACATCACGGTGTCATTAATGTCCGCTCTGTGAAGCAGACGGCGGGTGGTGTGTGTGTGTGTGTTTTGGTTAAACACCCGCGGTATTAACTAGGGCGGCCGTGGGGCTCAGAACACAACGAGCGGAAAAACGCGTCACCGCTGAGCCACGTCACCATTTCCGTGACCTCTGCCCTTCCGCCGTTCATGAGACATGAGCAGAAGTTTCCAAGAAAAAATACCGCGTTGCGGCCGCTGGCTTGTGGCTTTCAGTCAGAGGAGGTGATAGCAAATTTCAACTGCAATTTTCACTCTCCATCAATCAGCTAATTGCAATGTGCATTCTGATAACGGGAAAGTACAGCAGAGATGAGCTCAACATTTTATTACGCATTCGATGAGCCAATATTGATACGAGAGAATAACCATTCCCCCAAATATGTTTATTTACTTACTTTAAGAGATGTAATTTCACACAAAAAGTCAACCCCTCCCCGCCTCTCTCCCCGCACCCCCCCCCCGAAAATAATCTTTTTCACTCGCCGCCCATGAGCACCGTGTGATATTTATCACATCAAAGATAACCACTGCTCCCCAGCCAACGCGACCTGTGAGCTGTTGTCATTCATCCTTTTATCCGGCGGGAGGGCGCTTTGAGGCAGGTGTCCTGTCGGCACGCAGATGTCACTTTTTTATTTTTAAACCATGGCCATTAAAATGTTGGCACGGCCCGAGGCCGTCAACTTTAAGTGAGCTTTCTGGCTCTGTTGCGTTTCTGTAGCGTGACCTTGGGTCTGGAAAATGAATCCGCTCCCTCGTGGTTACTTTTGGACAAGCAGCTTCATTTGGCAGAGGGGTCGTATGGCACCCTGTTGCTTCGGTGCAATGGTGAGCGTATTGGACGTGCAACCCAAGAGGTCGCCGGTTCGATTTTCCCGGAACGGCAGGTTGAAACGACGAGTACGTCTCTCAAATCTGCCCGCTCCCCTCCCACCCAGCAATATATCAATCGCGACACCACAGTGAGTCGATCGGCAGGTTGAGCGTGGTGGGGTAAAGTGTGGGTATTCTGAAGAGTAGGCCAAAACAGCAGTGGTGTGAGAAAGACGTTACAGGGCTGCACCTGTACCTATTTTCTCTTCACCACATTTATCTTCTAAACGTGTGAACAGGCGAGTTGAAGTATTTTACGTCGGTTTTGCATCTTCATTTTTGTTCTCCGTGACTCGGTAAGGCCTCATATTCTTAGGTTTTTTCGGTAAAGTCACGTAGGCAAAAAATTAAAATTAATAAAAGTAAAAAAAAAATAAAAAAAAATCACGACGTTTCGGAGGCAACACAAGCTTCCGTCTTCAGGTGGAACCGTCACAGCACGATAGCTGTATCAAGTCTCTCAAGTCTCTCACTCGATACAGCTATCGTGCTGTGATGGTTCCACCTGAAGACGGAAGCTTGTGTTGCCTCCGAAACGTCGTGATTTTTATTTTATTTTTATTTTACTTTTATTCATTTTAATTTTTTACCTACGTGACTTTACCGAAAAAACCTAAGAATGTGAATCCTTGCAGTCACGAAAGCTTCAAATCTCGGTAAGGTCTGTTTCGTTGGGGTGTTATTTTCCTTATCGGTGTTCACATTTAAAGCGCTGCTTGCGATATTGATGTATTGACTGCAGATAAGGTTCGTCTCATTGCCGAGGGTGGTATTATTTAAACAGGGCTGTGTAAACAAATATAATTACGTTGGCCTATCCCGCTGTGGATATGAAAAGGTCAGCGTGTCCCGTTGTAGCCATCACATTTATTTCACTTACATTACGAAACAGGGGATTTTTTTAAATGAAACCACAATGTCTCACAAAGCCTTCCTTTCTCCCGTTTTTGCTGCTATTTCATAAATTGTCTCACGCTGAACAGCACTTCAGCTCGTGAAAGGAGATTTATTTTAAAAATTCAATGTTAAGGCCGTATCCGAAGACAGAATAATTCGTCGGTATATTCATAGAAAATGTGGCTCGTGCAGCGATGTCAGCTACTACTGGCTTAACACCCATTACCACGACTTCATATTTAGCAAGGTTTTGGTTAGAGGGGCATGCCTCATTCTCTTCGCATTTAAAGAAAGCCATTATTAATAACACCGCTTCTTTGTTCGGTTCGTAGCAAAGTTTAATCGCGTTTTGAAGTGATTTATTGCGTACACTGTTTAAATAAGGAATATCGATGGAGAGGGAGAACTTGGGATTTCAATAAATGGAGTGGTTTTTATCCTGAGTTAATGCATAGTAATGGAATTATATTGCAAACGTGCCACGTTTAAAGAGATATTAGAAGGGTTGCACAAGTCATAATATCATTGCTAATGTACCACTATATATTTTTTTAATATGTGTTCTGTTCAGCACGCGGGAAATGTACGTTTGAATTGTGTATACATTCAATAACCATGATTAGATTAAGTTATAGCAGTCAATGTTGAAGGAAACAATGAGCTCCAGAATAATTGAAGACGATTACAATCTGCAGACCGAGAGAAGCTCGTGTCTGCTTGTGCCCATACACTTGGCGAGGCGTCCATGGGCACCGCATTAGCAAAACAAACAAACGGAAATGTCATAATCATTTCCCCAACTTCATCTCGATGATGCAGTCGCCGTCACGCCACGTACCCATTTGTGTCTCTCACAGAGGTGCACGACCCTTCGTGTTATTTTTTTTTTCGATTTAAAGCTTTTCGTGACTGCAGGGATTCATACTCTTGGTTCTTTCGGTAAAGTCACGTAGAAGGGAAATAATAAAATAATGAAAATAAAACATAAAACAAATTTCGATTTAAAGCTTTCGTGACTGCAGGGATTCATCTTCTTGGTTATTTCGGTAAAGTCACGTAGAAGGGAAATAATAAAATAATAACATTCAGACGTTATCGCCTCGATAGACCTGGTTTTCACCTGAGGACGGCTACTTGCGTTGTGGCCGAAACGTCGTGAGAATTATTTTATTATGTTTTATTTTTATTATTTTATTACTTCCCTTCTACGTGACTTTACCGAAAGGACCAATAAGATAAAACAAATTCTCACGACGTTTCGGCTACAACGCAGGACGGCTGCTTGCGTTGTGGCCGAAACGTCGTGAGAATTTGTATTATGTTTGATTTATTTTTATTTTATTATTTCCCTTCTACGTGACTTTACCGAAAGAACCAAGAATGTGAGACCTTTCATGTAGATAGAGGATGGGATGGCAGGGCTTCCTCTGAGATCCGTTCAAGATGACCTCTGGTCCACACCGGCAGAGGGTGGCACTTTTGCACCTGCTTCTGCCATTGAGAGGAATGTTTAGCTTTTTGCTGAATAGCAGTAAAACGCATTTTTGTTTTTACTTCTCACATCTGGAGTCAAATTAAGTGCAATGTTTTTTTGGGGAAAGTCAACGGTGGCCAGGCAGAGACCTCAACTGCACTACACTTGAGAACCTGGTTTAATCAAAGGTGGCTTTCCTGGATTCGAACCCAGGTTCCCAGTGGTACCAAACTCAGCGCTAATGGCATCTCCGTGTGTTAGAGAGCTGTCCACAACCGCAGGTATTGTGGTCAATGCAAACATGACTCCTTGTAAAAAAAAGGTGTCAGTTTTGTAGCCAGATAAAAGGGTAAAAAAACAATTGTCATATACGAACTACTTTTGAGATCCCTTCAATCGATCTGTTATTTTATCGGCACACTGAGGGGCGAGGCACTCTTTCCTACATGCCCTGCTCAACCATGGCCTTCTGCGTAATTGTTGTCTCCAATCGTATTAATATTAACGGTAAGTTCATATTGTTCACTTTAAATCGTCTTACATTGGTATCATATACAATGTAAGTGCGTATGTATGTTTTCGTGACATTTTGTGTTTCGTTTTATTTTTTAACCATCCCCCTCTCCTCCAAAAAAAAATGTTTACCTTTCTATTCGCTTTTGCGAAATCCAGGCGTCCCTTGGAAAAGTTGTGGCCTCAGTGGCCCTCTCTCGCCTGCTCGTAAATAACGGCTCCGTTTCGCGTGAACGCGCGTCTCATTAAGCGCCCTCTGCTCTCTCTCTCTCTCCCGTCTCGCGCGCAGGACGGGTTGATGGTTTTGGCTGACGAAGGTCCTTGTCCCACTCTGTCCTGCATCGCCGAGCAACAAATAGACCTTCCGGACAGATGCTGCAAAGTGTGCCGCGGTGAGTAACCCGCGGGCGGCGTGAACACAACGACGAGGAGAAGGAGGACGGTGAAGCAGATGCTTGACACACAGCGTGACTCGCTAAATGGGAGTAATGGCCTTTCAGCGCTTCATTACCACTCCCTGCAGAAAATGGCCATTGGTGGCAATGCTGTAACATGACCTTGTTTAATGGGGGGCGGGGGAGAGGGGGGCATACAAAAACTCAAGAGCGGGGGGGGGGGGGGGGCAGGACACAGTCAAGTGTTGAACAAACTTTTAACGGAGATGAAATGCTTGACAGAATGAGCAACGACACGATCTGTTTTTTGCTTATCGTGCTCTCTGCTCTAGCTCTATCCTCCTGTGTAAGGCTCGTGCACAGGACCACACAGTGCCCCCCCCCCCGCACTCCATCTCCCAGCCGCCCGCAACGCTACACGGTCGATTGGTGGTGCAGTCATGTGTCTAGGTGCGTTCGTGGGAAACAGCTGTCAGTCGGTTAGCGGCACATCTGTCGAGTGAGTGGAGAGTAGGGAGACTCACATTTGTAGCCTCCCGTGTGTAGAGAGTACGGAGACTCACATTTGCAGATTTTCATGTGTCGGGGGTTTCGGAGACTCACATGTGCAGCCTCCCGCGTGTAGGGGGTATAACTGAACTGGAGGCCCATGGGCCAGACGAGCTCAGGTGCCAGGCTACATGGAGGGCTTAAAAGGGCCCATTCCAGCCACGCCGCACCACCGCCACCAGTGATTTCTTAATAACACCGAATATTAACCATTTGGCACCGAATGAGCCACACAAATGTTTCAAAGTGTTCATGTTCATTTTGTTGTCCTTCCCCCGCACCTCCCATTAGCACGGCTCGCTACGTACGGTGCGAAAGAAGTTAAACGTACATTCATCCTCGCGGTTTATTGGTCAGTGTCAGCGGTAATCTTGGTGGTGAAGCGTACATGGTTGGAATAAAAGTAAAAAATCCGTTGGAAGAATGTGGCAGGCAATGACACCCAAACCTCTCTGTTCAACGCATGCAGTTAATGTATTTTTTTTCTGCTATAAAGATTAATCAGCCTAATTATCTAGCTAATGGCGTGATTATTCACTTCTCAAATTACGGTTTTCACGCGTGTGCTTGTGGATGTAGAATGCGTTACGCACCAAGGAATCCGTTATATCCCAAGGACTATCGGCTCCTGACTTTTGAAACGTTTCTAAACAAAACGACCACAACAATGGGAAAGCAACGTTGTTATTTTCATTGTTGTCTGGTTAGTAATAGACGCTTAAGAGTTATCGCCTCTTCGTCGCGATTTGCTGATTCGTCACGGCTAAGCGTTCATGATAACATACGTGACTTTACCAAAAGAACCAGGTAGATGAATCCCTGCAGTCACGAAAGCCTTAAATCGAAATTCAAGAAGCTATTTATTTTTTTGTCTCGTTATTACTCACTCATTTGTATAATGCTTCTGCAGTTTCCCCATCGTTATATATATATGTGTTAGCATAGTTGCTGAGCGTAGACCCATTGGCCAAAAACTACCAAGCGACCAGCAAAAAAAACCAGCACCTGTAAAGGGTAAATGAATTGAGCAAGGTTAATAGAACTTGGGCGAAAGAAACGATGCGAGGAAATTCAAAAGTCGAGCGGTGCGAGTAAAGAAGCAGAAAGAGGAGTGTTGTGAGCTGGTGGCTAAATGCGGTGTGGCGGATGAGATGAAACAGTCTGTGTGTGTGTATGATGAACGTCTTTCGCACTGTGTGTAGCCAACCGTGCTAATCGTAGGTGCAGGGGAATAGACTGTTAGACTCAGTCTGAATAGTCTGATAGACTCAGTGTGGATAGTCTGATAGACTGAGTCTAAATAGTTAGTCTGAGTAGTCTGATAGGCTCAGTCTGAATAGTCTGTTAGACTCAGTCTGAATAGTCTGGTAGACACCGAGTCCTCAACATGGGCGGAGGATTCAACGAGTGCAACTCTCGTTCAGTTTGTGACACCGTTGTGATTGTGTGCACGTAATCCTCGTGAATTGCAAGCAGTTACGCATCACACAATAAATTTAGCGCCTTAAGAATTAATATTAATAAATGAATCGATGCAATCATCATAACACTATTCATAAAGATGGTCACTCCATTGCGCGCATTCCGATGTGCCTTTGCGGCCGTCTGGAATGCTCTTCGTTCCGATAATAGGAATCCACTTGAGCTATGCAACTTTTAAATGATCCAGATTGACAAACTCACTTCTTTAAAACTTTTTTTTTGTCTTTCAGTTCGTTCTCCTTTCCCTCCGCACCTCCGCTAAGCACACGGTTGGCTGCACGTGGTGCGAAAGAAGTTCAAAGTGTGCGTGCGAGACGTTCGACGTACGTAAAGTTTCGTTGACGCCGTGACAATGTGGCCCTCTCTCCTCTTGCGTGCAAAGGACACGACTTCTGCGGGGAGGGCCACATCTGCGGCGATCACTCGCAGTGCCAGAATCTGCTGACGCGCGCGGCATGCGTCTGTCGTCCGGGGTTCACACCCATCCGCGAGGACGAGGCCTACTGCCAAGGTGAAAGCCTGCCGCCCACCTGCCACTGTCACGGCTAAGGTTGCCACCTGTCCTGGGTTATTGTTTTGTTTTCCCCCCTCCCTCCTAGGATGGTCCTCTCTTTGAGGCAGTTGTCTTGGGAAGTCTCTCCGTCTTCATGGAACTTTTAACGTGAAAAGTTGCATCTACTTTTTCCTCTGAGATGTCCTAGTTTTTTTTGTACCAGAGAGGTGGCAACCCTCTTCATATCTGGGCCATCGTTACGGTTGTCACTTTTCCTGGTTTCCCCAGGATTGTCCTCTTGTTGAGGTTGTTGTTGTTCTAAGGAAATCTGTACTTCTTCCCAAAACTTTAAGAGTCCAGGTTTATTTCAATTTCGGCAATAATGCACCATGCAAGACCATATGTTTATATGTAGTTCTACCCTCTTCCAGTTTAGTGAGATGTTCTCATTCCCCATGATATGTCCCAGTTTTCTGTACCTCAAAGTTGACAACCGTAACCATCATCATCATCTGCATAGTCACCATTGTCTTCAACGTTGGCATGATCATATTCGTCATAACTAGCAGTATTAGCATCAGTATAGTCTACATCACTGTCATCATCAACATCATTATCATCATCAGCGTCATCGTTAGCATTCATCATGATTTCTGTTTGTGTCAATCAATCGATTTTATGTGCCAATTGTCGCCCTCAATAAAGTCGGCTTCGGTGCACATTGAGGAGCATAGAGCAACACCGCCATAGTCATCGTTATCGTTGACGTTCGGAAAGAGTCGGACGGTGTCACCAAACCAATTAGGATTTTTGCTGAAAAAATATAATAGATCCGATTCTGAATCGAACTGAAGATACACGCCCAGTGTCCATCATCAACATTGCAATCATCATCAGAAACAACGTTATATAGTAATTGTCACCATCGTCGTCGGCTTTTATTTAATTTTATTAAGATAATTTATAATGCGTGGCGTAAATATACAATGCCATCGTTGGAAGTTGAACCATAGAAAAAATGTTGTGCTCACATTTCAACAATAATAGGCCCATAGGCTGCTCTACAAACATGTGTGCCTAGTTTGACTTAAAATAGACACGGTTCAGGTCATTAATATGCATTGGAAAGTACTGGGAATTCAGAATCCTGTGGAACCAATAGGCAATACCCCAAGGTCTGCCACTGCAAGAATTAACTCAATTGTTAAATGAACTATAAACCCATGGCTTTAAGTGCGTCGGTCATGTGAGGGTTGTCTGACCGTGTCACCACGCTGTTCAGTACAGGTTGGTGAAGGGAGTAAGTGGGTATGGGCAGAACACATCGCCACAAGAGGTGTTGACCGATGGTTAAGAATCATATCAGGAGTTGCATCCAAGAAATGGAACGCATCCGAGAGAGAGTGCGTCCTCCAGGGAGATGGAGTGATGAAATCAGCTCGTGTGCAGCGGGATTGTGAGAGATGGTGGATGATTGCTGAGGCTTTCATCCGACAGTGGATTTATCATTGCTGATGATGATTCAACGCATCGGACAAAATCGTTGGCTTCTCATCAACCTGCAGCCGTGACAGACACGCAGCACTCCGTGTTCGTTTGGTTAGTCCGTAAGAATGCACGAGGCTATCTGGCGTGGTGACAAAGAATAAATTCGTGATTATTCAACTGAATGCGGACCGCGCTTTTACGCAGTTATCTGGGAGACGCACATTTGCAGCCTCCCGTGACTGATTTGAGCATGGTGGTAAATAAGTTGATCTGCCAGTGAGGCACAGAGCCCATTTTTCTTCTGTAAGTTTACACCCAGTTGCACTCGTTCGTGATAAATGCTGTGGGCCTTTTGAATTTGAATTTCAATCTACAACTGTATGGATATGGCTGTTTCAATAGAAGAAGAAAATAAAACAACAACAACAACAACAACCAACAACACATGAAAGAGAAAGATTACAGAAGCCTTATTTAAATCCTTATTTGAGCTCAGCTCTCTTGTTTCCAGAGCGGACAAAATTACATAAATTATGCATGCTACAGTTACGCCTTTCATTGTTTTTATAAGCACTTCCAATGGCCGTTATGCAAAATAGATGACAAATGCTCTAATTGAAGGATGTTTCACTAAACATTAAATCTATTCTCAGTGTGCAATTCATTGGAAATATAGCATCGTGCTTACAAAGAAAACTAGTTCGGCTACTCTTACCCATGCCCAGTTCTATTGCATCAAAGTACTCGGGAAATTAACTTCTGATTCTGACTACCAACATACACATTCCCAGCTTCTGGCGGAGATATATGCACTCTCTCCCCACTAAACAGTGCTTCATTTTAGTCGGAATGGTCTGCTATGATGTTACAGGATTTAATTTGGCTGTGCCACATATATCGCATCTTATTATGGCCTCACCATTAACATGAACCTGTTAAACATTCATTATATGTATATAGGGTATAATAATAATAACAAGACTCAACCCTACTCCAACCAGACAAGCAGCATTCCCAGTAATACCGATTTGAGAAATTCAACCCGAGTGGTTACAAACAGCTTTCGGAGCCTATAACTCCCCAGAGTAGTGAGCTTCACAAATGCAAGCCAACTTAACACAATTACACCGTTCGGTAGAAACGGGGGATTCCTTCATGTTAGGTTAGCCTCGCGATGATCCGCACAGGTAGTCGACAGAAAGGCACTTGTCAAGACATCAAAACCACGTGAACTTTAGAGCCAGTGTCCCAGCGGTCCCTTGTAGAGCAGCAGCAGAGACGGCTGGCTGGCAGCGCTGGGTTCTGCTACTCTTGGGCCACTATTGATGTTCCAGCTATTGGGTTTTTTTCTTTCACACACCAACCGTATTGTGTCATCAGTTTGGCCTCGAATCGCAGCGGTTGTGAGGTGTACAAAGGAATTGTGCGGAGGAACGCGTCCCGCGATTGATGGTCTCTTGTGGATCTCCGAGCCAAAGAGGTTTTCAAAGCACACGCTGCGATGCCTTGCAGAGTTTAATGCCCCCACTGCTTTGCCCAAACATGCCATTACCAGTGCACACACACACACCAACACAGCCTCTCTTCCACCCCCCTGGCATTTCATTGCTTTGGGGGGCATTAAATAGAGTTGGTGATCCATATCATACCGTGTGTGTAACAATTGCCAAGGCCAGCCCGGTGGCTCAGCGGTAGGGCTGGTGGCTCACAGTTGGGAGGTTCGTCTTCTTGGTTCTTTCGGTAAAGTCACGTAGAAGGGAAGTGACTTTACCGAAAGAACCAAGAAGATGAATCCCTGCAGTCACGAAAGCTTTAAATTGAAATTTAGTCGGGAGGTTGTGAATTCATCATCCAGGTCAGGGGTTGACTCCGTCTGTTCATCCCCGCGGGGAGGAGCAAGACGTTTATTTTACTTTCTTTGTTTTAACTGTGAAAATTGTAAAAAAAAAAAATTACATATATTATTTGTGAGTTAGCTTTTTTGAGGGGGTATCCAATTAAAGCTTTCACGAGCCTCACAACACATGTATCGCAAGCAAACGTGCCTGCTGATCGTTCCAGACTCATTGTATTTCAAAGGCGAGAGAGAGAGAGAGGAGACGGAAGTAGCAAGAGACTGGGAAATATATCTGCTTTCGTATTCTTTTGTCCTGCCGGGAGCCATTATCTTCCTGGTATCGCGTGTGTGCTGGCGATGCACGGACAGACTGCAGACTTCAGCGGCTCCGCGGACATTCCCTGAAACTCTCACGGGCTATTGGGAGAAACGGCATCGCATCGCACGCGGCGAGAGGGGGGGGGGGGTAGATACGCCACACGTGCCAAGATTCTGCAGCTCGGCAGTGAATTTAAAATGCTTGGCGTGTGCGCGCGTGCGCTCTCGTGTGCAATTGTTTGAGCGGCGTGCCAGTTCACTGAGGGTTCTGGCAGGGAGCGTGCTCGTTGAAGACACGGCAAAGGTTCAGCCCTGCAAGTGTTTGCTCGTGCCACTGCTGGCAATCGGACGTCCACTGGTAGGAGCTCTTAAGAGAGCCCCTTTATGGTGCACTGTCGGTCTACTCTTTTACGCTGCCCAGATGTCTTTAAAAGGGCGGAAGTGCCTACACTTTAGCCCCACCAACACAACCTGCCCATCGATTAGCTCTGGTGTGGCCATGTATATTTATTTATCCCGGAGGAATCCGATGAGCTACAAGGCTCTTTGATCACAGATGTCCAGGAGGGGCGGGAAAGAACGCCACGTCAACAAACAATGCAACACACACTATAGGAGTGCAAAGTACATGGAAGGCAAAAAAAAATCACCCAAAAGCATACCAATAGAACTAAACCATCCCCATCCTACTACGCAAAGCCCACTGAGGTATGAACTTTTTTTCAAAAGCGACCTGGCCACAAATGATAGCTCAACGAAGTGGCTTATCACGTGGACATTTACATCAGCCAAATACGTAACGCACGTTTCTAAATGTGGAGAGAAAATCTGGAGCGCCTGGAAAAAAATCCACGCGACCACGAGGAGAACATGCAAACTCCAAATATACAGCAGGCATCAAGGTTAGGATCGAACCCACAACCTCCTGTAAACGAGGTGAGGTAGTTAACACCTGGGAGCCAACTGTGGCTGCCATTGGCAAATGGGTGCTATGATGCGTTAATTGTATTAATTATTGGATTAATTGATACACATGCCCTCACCTGGCAAGCTCTGACGGTCACCTGTCCAAGTACTAACTGATCAGCCGCTCGACCGTGCTTGGCCTCCGAGATCCGGTGAGGGGATTTAAGAAACCTTGCCCAATGTTTCAGCTGCTGCACTTGGAGATCAAAGCACGGAGCTCCGGATTGCCTGGTGTCTCCCCCCCCCCCCCCACCCTGAACTCCACTGGGTGGCAGACATTTATATCTGCACAAAATTTGTTGGCTGAAATTCCCAAAAAAAAACACTTTTTCCCATACTCGGCAAAGCGACTCTCCTCATTATTGCTCGTTTCGTTTAATTCAGAGGGCTTACATTTTTTAAGACTGTTAAGTACAGCGCTTGTGTTAATATTTTAAAATCCACGTCTTTTTTTACGCAAACAGAAAAGTGTCCCTGCCTCTGTGAACATTAAATTATTGCAACGTCTGTACTTGTCGTGCATTAAATAATGGCACACGTCTAAATGTGGAACATTAGGACATCTTTTCTATGAACATTATGAATGAGTTCTCGTGGGAAGAGGGTCAGCTAAAATTCGCTGCATACGTTTGGCCGTGGCAAGAAAAAGAAGCTCAGGTCGCCTAGTTCAGACCACAGTTCGCAAAACATGAGCCCAAAATCGGCAAACTGTGTGCTTGCTTGCTTGCTTACGACCGTGCAAACATTTCGGTCGTTCTGTAACCCACTTCCCGTGATCCAATCGAGCTGACATTTTGCACACAGACTCGTTGTGCGAGACAATTAATGTTCGTGAAAATTTTTTTCCAAAATTTTACACTGTTTAGGGAAAACAAATTAAATATTTAATTACCAATTGTTTAATACTGCAGACAATCATCTGACCCATAGGTGTCAGCCATCTCAAGCCAGAGGACGAGAGGACTCTAGCCGCCACGCATATAAAGGATTTAGAGTGAAAAACTTTGTTTTTACGGGTTATACTTATTTCAAGTGATTTCCCCTCATGAAGAGGATGATGACTTTAAAAAATGAAATTTCTGCACTCTTTTGGCAAGAAGAAGAAGAATCAAAATCACACAGAGATCGCCAAGACAAGCCCTTTTTCTCGGGCACTTTACTGCAAGCTTCTTTAAAACGGTGTGCCGTCTGCAATTTCGTGAGCTGTGATTTCGTGAACGGCAAAAGTTTTCGAAGAGATTGACAGTCACTTGCCCCTCGCCTCGTTGGAAGCGCCGAGAGTTGTGAACGTTTTTTTTTGTTTGTATCGACACCGCCGTCATTGCTGCAACGGTGCCTTGGGGCAGCTCGTGGGGATATCAGCGAGTGAGGAGACGGAACGCGGGAGGCATCGTCCTCTTCCTCTCTCTTTAAATCCGGTGCACGCGAAGAAGGTTTCACTGCCCTTTACAAGCTCCTTGCGTATCTCCATCACGAGCCCACGACACGTTTAGTGGCCGTCTCCCGCTCCACCCCGTTGGTCAGGACGCCGTAACGGAGGCGGATTGGGGGGGGGAAGACATGGGAGGGCGGTGGAGTTATTTATTTATTTAGTGCCCCTTTGATGAACGGTTATCGGTCGTCCGCGCTCGGTTTTAATTGGACGGTGCCCCCCCCCCCCCCCCCCGGTGTGTGTACACCTGCAGACGTGGACGAGTGTGCGGAAGGAGCCCATTACTGCCACGAGTTCACCACGTGCACCAACACGGCGGGCTCGTTCCACTGCGAGTGCCTGCCCGGGTACCTGCGCGTGGACGATTACTCGTGCACCGGTGAGTCACGGAGTGGGCAGCTGACGACGGCAATGATGACGACGACGACGAAGACGACGACGATGACGACGATGACGACGTTTCAACGCTCGCCTGTGACAAAAAAAAAACACCACCACTTCTTAACGCGCCCGATCGCATCCCATTTTTGGGAAATCGTGGTTGAGCCCCGGTGTGTGGGTGGTGTTTGCACGGTTGAACAACGTGCACAAGCGGGGTGGTCGTAGGTGGCTGTGGGGCTGTGTAATACGCTGGGAGCTAGAGGGGCGGTGCAGCTAAGCCATTTGCTGGACCGTACTTCTATGCTCCTCCGCGTTCACCAACCCGCACCTACCAGCGTGGATAAGCATGGCCACAGGCTAACCCCCCTGTGACACGGACAGGCATGGGGAGGCTCTCATCCAGCAGTAGAGAGGCAGAATTGCTTTATCGGCGTCACGTCATGAGACGAAAGAATCCATTCGGACATTTCACAGAGCAGTGCCACCCAACTCAAATTAAAAATAAAAATAAATTAAAATCAAATCAAAAGATCGTGATTTCATTTGAATTTTGTTAATTTTTTTTATTTTATGTTTTATACCTACGTGACTTTACCGAAAGAACCAAAGAGTATGGATCCCTGCAGTCACGAAAACTTCAAATCTAGAATAATCATGAGCAGTTAGAGCCCGGATTCAAACCCAATATCTCCACAGCGGTGCCTGGCCCAGTGCTCTGATCTCTGAGCCACCCTGACAAAATCTTGAGATGTGGTTTCCTTGATAAGATCAAAATAAATACGTTTCATGATCAATCCACTGCCGGATGAAGGTCTCCCCAAATGCCTCACCGACCTCATAAAAATAAAAGCTCGCACCAAATTTCGCGGAGCATTGCAAAGATGGCAATAATACTGATCTGAAATGTTTGCAGGTTTATCCCGGCGGCTTTCATAATATCAGCCACGGTCACCCCATGTGGCCTTTGAAAACGATGTAATGACTCCCCGGGCCCTCACCTGGTTAAATAAAGGTCATTGGATCATTTCTAGATTTGAAGCTTTCGTGACTGCAAGGATTCATACTCTTAGTTCTTTCGGTAAAGTCACGTAGGTAAAAAAATGAAATTAAAATTAATAAAAATAAAACAATAAAAATCACGACGTTTCGGAGGCAACACAAGCTTCCGTCTTCAGGTGAAAAAAAAACGTGATTTTTATTGTTTTATTTCTATTAATTTTAATTTCATTTTTTTTACCGACGTGACATTACCGAAAGAACTAAGAGTATGAGTCATTGGATCAACCTGAAATTGAATTGTATTTGGAACGTGCGTTACCCACAGCCCACAATGACTGTCGTCGGTGGGAGCTCACGGTTATCTCAGAGGCGTATCTAAGTAAAGTAGCGCTGCTCAGATATGGCAATCCGATGTGAGGTCCTCGGTAACATTATCGTCAGTTTTTCAAAATATCTTCAAATCGTGATTATCACTGCCCCATTTTATCTTTCCGATGTACATTATTTCCTGACAAAAATGTTACGAAATAGCAAACTCATATAATACATTTGTGAATAAATAGCAATTATCCATTTAATTGCTATTTGAAACATTATTTCAGAGTAATTAATGGCATGGTAATCATATGATGCTATCATTCAGGTAGTTTGGTTAATAATTTACTTATTTAAAGTGTAACTGACGGCATATGCATTATAAGCGCCATCAATTGTAAGGGTAATAATGAATTATGGCAGGCGTATGGGTGAGTAAACTACAGTTGAAGAACGTTTAAGTACTGTAATATTTTATTTGTACAGCAATGCACAAAAACAACACAACACATTTTTATGCAGTTCCAAAATTGCGGGAAACTAATATCGCGAAAAATCAGCCCAACGTAAAATCTATAGCCGATTGTGAAATACGATATCGTCTTTACACGATATCGTGAAAGACGATATCACGACATCGTGAAAGACGATATCACGATATCGTGGCGACCGTGGTCCAAAGGAAGACACCGATCGCCAAAACTCAACCCTGCAAACAAAAATATATAACGAAACGTCAGCCGTGTAGGTTATCGGATTTGCGCTGCGTGGCATTTGGCTCGCTGGTTGCGTGCGGGCGGAACAGACTCTGAAGAGAGTGGCAACACGCGAGAGCGAGACGTCAGAACTCGTACGGAACAACATGCGCGCCGCGCAACCCCCAAACCACGTTGGGAGATATTCTTAGGTTTTCTCGGTAAAGTCACGTAGGTAATTTTTTTTTTTATAAAAGTAAAATACAAATAAAATAAAAATCACGACGTTTCCACCTGAAGACGGAAGCTTGTGTTACCTCCGAAACGTCGTGATTTTTATTCTATTTTTATTTTACTTTATTAATTTTTTACCTACGTGACTTTACCGAAAACAACCTAAGAATATGAATCCTTGCAGTCACGAAAGCTTCAAATCTAGAATTAACACTTTGGGAGAGCCGCGAAACATCTTGGCCGCTAGACTCCTCGCAAACCGTTGCCTCATTAAGGGCTTGCTGGAGCAAACTGGGGACGGGAGGGGGGAGGAAAAGTCCCACACGTATTGTTTAATTTATTTTACCTTGCGTGCAATTATCCGCAGTGACCCATTTTGATTTGATTATATGCGGCATTGCGAGGCAACGGGCGGGGGGGGGATGTCGGGGGATAGTGGGGGTGGGCTGTACTCTTCCCGATAATTATTGGGGGGGGGGGGGGGTGTTTTGCCAACCAGTAATTGCTCCGTCAAATCTGCCATAATCAGAGCGGCTCGGTGGGTGGCTGTCATCATCCGCTGCCCTCAGCCCAGGGGCATCAATCATCCCCTCTCCAGAGACCGGTGGAAATATATTAGCGATGGTGCAGCCTTATTGTACGTGGGCATATTTTTACGAAAAGCGAGGATTATCGTTCGATCGCGGTGTTTAATTTTCCTTTGTAGTAGATTGCGTCGAAATTGACAAACAATGCGGGTAACTTGGACGGAGAGGGAGAGAGACACGTGGGGCCCTGGTATGTTATACTGTTGGCTTAACCACCTAACTTTGGCCAGGCCTAGGTTGCACCCGGCATTGCAATGTTTACGAGGCGCCTGCTTTCGCAAATATTTATTTGGGACAAATACCTGATGGAAGTAATTGTTTTCTTCTTAAATTAAATAGGTGGCTTAGATGGAAACCACCAAACTACATCGCGATGTACCCTACTTTTAGTTCAGTATTTTTAAGTAGGAAATGGTTCAATGTGTACGATATTTATTGCGGAAATGTCACCGTTATCCAAATTGTATGGTAACAGACAGCTTTGTATGTAAAATATTGCAAAGACTTATGAAATTGGGCTGCGAATATCTGGTTGTAATTTTTTTTATTTTTGGAGGGGAGAGACCTGAGCTTGGGGTCATGGAACAGCTATAGCCCCCCACTCCCTCCCCACCACTTCCCCCACCATCTCGTCACCCGTTACAAGCGCAACCAACGTGGGAAAAAAGACCTGCCATGCATGTCTCGGTCGCGCACACAAGGCGCGTGACCGCCCGCGACGTCGTCTTCGGACACGAAAGACAACGGCAACAGCGAGAACACAACCCCCTTGCCCTACCCTACCATGTCACGAGGCCTGGATGCCAGCAAAATGCAACGTGAACATTTTTTTGTGCGCGTGAGCCGGCGGTGCGCGTTTGAAAGGTCCAATCCGGACGAGGCTGTCTGCACCAACATCTCAGCGGTGAGACATGCATTAGGCCCAATTCGACAAAAGGCCCGGTACATTTATCTTGAGTGGCACCTGCAATGTCCCGAATGGATAACTTCGCACTAAGTACGCCACGTGCACTTGACGGCTCGCGGCAAGTGGAAGGCATGCATGAACATTTATCGCGTGAGTGTGCTCTTTGAACCACGTTTGGGGTCAATTTGCAGGAATATTATGTTGTTTATCGCACTTTGCTGCTTCCACAGAGGGAGGTGGTTTGTCGGGGGAGTTGTAGGGCGTCTTTGTCGCCCCGTAATGGGTCATCTGTTATTGTGGATTATTGCGTCTAGGTCGGTAGAACTGTTCTCCATCATAACATCGGTCGGGCTTCGCTTTCCATCGCCAGCGTTCGGCAGTTTTATTCCGCAGGGCACCGCTCTAAAACTCACCGCGCGATAAAGAAACCCCAGATTACAAAACCGAACGCGTTAAAGACAAACAACCCATATAATCGTTAAATGTATGATTCGTAAAACTATATATTTCTTTATAATGGGCAAAATGTGGTGGCACTTTCTGTGAGTAAATGCTCATTAAATACAGGGGGGAGGCGTTGTAAGAGTCGCAGTAGAAAGAGGTTAATAAGAGGTGGATTGTGCAATGCATCTGAGCATTTTATTCTTGAATTCTTATTATTCCACACACCAGCTTCGCCATCCATACTGAAGCCAACTTAATATGAAGGGTGGCCTTTAATTTATAATTTGCCACACTCTATTGACCAGCTTCCCCATATGCCGGCTTTCAGCTGTAATTGAATTAATCACACCGCCTGTTATCTTGTTTTCAAAAGGTCTTTTATTTTATTAAATTTTTAAGCTGACCTTTACGTATAGATTTTGTATAACTCCTTAATTGATGTATTGACATTTTTTTCTTGACTCAAGGGAAGTGACCTCATTAATGCTGCGGCTGTCTTTTTGAAACTATCGCTACCTTAATAGCATGAGGGAATTTCTTAAATTACTGCCCGTGCGTGCAGGATAATTATAATTAATGATTTTTTGGCATGTGCTTAGCGAGTCAATCTGACACGCATGAGCAAAGTTGTCGGTGTATATTTACATTAATCAAATTATGGCGAATTTCAGCGACGACGTTCGTGAAGTGATAAATAACATAAATTGTTTGATAATAACAGAAAACCTCGACTGGAATTCAGCAGAAAATTATGCTCCAGCTTTTCGCGCCGCGTGCATTTCATGAGTAGCGTCAGAAACTTTGAGATAACGGCACGTTTTTGCAAGCGCGCAAAACAAGCGTCGGATGGGGGATTGTATCACACTCGGCATAATTTTTCATTAATTTTTTTTTCTTTCATTATGGCTGCGGGAAGCGATGTAATGTGGATGAGGTGAAGGGACGCAAGTATGGATTCTTTTTTTTTTCTGGAATATATAATGCCGTATTCGATAATTGCTTATCCCGCCAGAGTTAATCATTCCGATAATAATGTTAACACCACATTGTGTGCTTTTGCTGAGAAAGGGCCTTCGAATAGAATGACACGGGAAAAGAAATGTTCCAATTAAACAGATATGCTGCAAACTGGCTTATGAAATGATGAACAGTTTTAATACATCTACAGGCCAGGATCTTAAAATTTTCCCTATTCTAAGCAACAATTAAAAGGTGTCGCTTTCGCAACTAACCGTATGAAATGTGCTCGTTATGCATCTGAAGCAGGCAAACTGAAACATGAGGGCCGAAGTGACCGCCGTCACGTCTCTGCCGTCAAAGTAGAATCTATACACTAGGCGACGTTTCAGGCGATGGGCCTTCTTCGTAGCTTGTTGGCTACGTACGGTGCGAATACGTTCTACATACATACAATGAAAGGTAAACAATTTACGATTCGGAGAGTGGACCACGCCTCATCTCTCTCCTGCGAAGAAGTGGCTGTTGCCTGAAAGATCGCCGATTAAAAACGTCTCTCCTTTGAGGGCCACGGTGTCATTGATTCATTCAGCGAGCACGTGACCGACCAGCCATGCGCCAGCGTCCTCCGTGACTGCACAAGAGAGCAGTGGACGTGCTCGTGTCAGAGCCACATTCACACACTGACAGGGGCGTGGCCTCACGGAGGGGTGTGTGGCCTCACAGAGGGGTGTGTGGCCTCACGGAGGGGTGTGTGGCCTCACGGAGGGGGGTGTGGCCTCACGGAGGGGGGTGTGGCCTCACGGAGGGGGGTGTGGCCTCACGGAGGGGGGTGTGGCCTCACGGAGGGGGGCGTGTTAGACACGTCCCCCCTCAAATTTAATTTGGAGGTTTCGTGACTGCAGGAATTATTCTTTGGTTCTTTCGGTAAAGTCACGTATAAAGATAAAATTATAAATTAAATTAAATACTAGCATACGACGTTTCGATTGCAACACAAGCAATCATCATCAGGTATAAATTAAATAGAAACACAAATCTAGTATACTTAGAAATGTAATGTAATACAACAGAGAGTCGGATAACATAACAGTGTGATAGCTGTCTCCCCTGGTGCTTTTTCATTGCAGTTTCATGACGGGACCAGCGAGCCTAAATATCTTTATACACGCACGTGAAATAAGTTAGCTGGAGTATGGAAGGCGAGGACATGAAACGAAGGGGTCTACAAACATTACATTGCTGACACACAGAGAGATAGTAACAGGCACACGCTTATTGCCCGCGCTCCATCCAGTTACTGAGGGGTTGCGCAATCAGAGGGGAGGCTGAGCTCGTCGCTGCCTCACCTCTCGTCTCTTCCTGTATTTGCAGCGGAGCTCCGCAAATTTGGCGATTGTGACTATAAAAAATTAACCCTTCAAAACAAAGTTTTTCACTATAAATCCTTTATATGCGTTGCGGCTAGAGTCCTCTCGTCCTCTGGCTTGAGATGGCTGCCACCTATGGGTCAGATGATTGCCTGCCACCATTAAGCAATTGGTAATTAAATATAATTTTTTTTCCTAAAAAGTGTAAAATTTTGGAAATTTTTTGACGAAAATACATTGTCACGCACAACGAGTCTGTGTGCAAAATGTCAGTTCGATTGGATCACGGGAAGTGGGTTAAAAAACGACCGAAAGATTTGCACAGTCGTAAGCGCGCAAGCAAGCAAGTGAACTTAATATAAAGGATTTAAAAATGATTGGAATCGTACAGAAATGACATTTATAACACCGATCAGTGGAAAAAATCTTAATATTTCTTTGATTATTCCTTTTTTTTACTTTTCGTAACAGCTATTTTCATTGGAGTATGGCAGGTGAGGCTCTGCCTCCTCTGCCTCCCCTGACCGCACGTCCCTGCAAGAGAGAACCTCGCCCTGTCCCAGAGCCTGTTCAGCGAGGCCCACCGATGGCGTGGCAGGGCAAAGAAAGGCGGCGAGGCTGGAAGATCCGCGATGAGGAACTGTATTGTTAGGTTTTCTCGGTAAAGTCACGTAGGTAAAAAATTAAAATTAATAAAAGTAAAATAAAATAAAAGAATAAAAATCACGACGTTTCGGAGGCAACGCAAGCTTCCGTCTTCAGGTGGAACCGTCCACAGCGCACTTGCTGTATCAAGTAAATAAGAAATTCCAAGAGACGAGGAACTGGTTTCGGTGGCAATGGAATCGGCGTTCCAGTCGCCCCATTTGTCAGTACCCCGTTCACATTGGGGGGGAAATAAATGGTTCCTTCCAGCCAACTGAATTTTTCGAACTTATGTTTAAAAAAAGAATTAAAATCCCCGTACCATCGTTACCAACCACCCAGTGTTATTGATGAACGTGTTGGGCTTTTGGTATGTGTGCCGTGCGTAACCACTGCCAACATTATCGCAAAAAAATTAACCCGTAAAAACAAAGTTTTTCACTATAAATCCTTTATATGCGTGGCGGCTAGAGTCCTCTCGTCCTCTGGCTTGAGATGGCTGCCACCTATGGGTCAGATGATTGTCTGGCAGCATTAAACAATTCGTAATTAATTTTTTTTTCCATAAACAGTGTAAAATTTAGTAAATTTTTTTCTCCACGAAAATGCATTGTCACGCACAACGAGTCGGTGTGCAAAATGTCAGCTCGATTGGATCACGGGAAGTGGGTTAAAAAACGACCGAAAGATTTGCACGGTCGTAAGCAAACAAGCAAGCACGCAAGCGAGCAAGCAAGCGAACTTAATATAAAGGATTAAAAAAGCACACGGTGAAGTCTTCGTGACACCAATGACCCCTGAGAATGATTTGCAGTCATTTTATGTCTTTATATGTTTTCAATAATGCACGGTGCTCGGTAGTGCTTATTCAGAAAACTAAATCGTGTTGTTGGGGTAAACGGCTTCAGCACAAAGCAGCAGATGCCGGGGGACTCTGAGAGACACCAATCTCGTCTCTATAACCTTTGTTTCGATAAGTTTCTGCGCAGTTATTGCTTCTGGAATGAGTGCAACCTAATGATAGCTGGCCTCACCTCTCAGCCCATTAATTACCACCCTGGAGAAACGATGATCTTAATGGCCACCCTCGCTCACGGTGTGTGGGGGGGAATTAATGGAGTCGTCAAACAAAAGAAGTTTTACGCCGTTGGTGCAAAACGAAATTTGCATCGGTTACCACCACCGGGCTTTTCAGCGTTCGTGACGGAAAGGGGAAAACGGCAGACAGCGCTTTTTTGTTTGTTTGTTGTTCCGTAAAGCTCTCTGCGGATTAACGCACTCCTTGACGCCGTGAGATGTAGCGGCTTTCTTCGGCGCACCATCTCGTGAAGCACTCCCTCTCTTTGTGCCCGGCTGGGAAGGGTGGAGAGGAGACGTAGTTGTAGTGGCTTTCTTTATGGATTGTGTTATTTATATTTTTTACACTTTCTGTTTTTAATCGGATTACGGATTCAGACCAGATGGCATTGAAAGCAGTAAGATGTTTTTTTTTACTTAGCCACAGCACAAATATATTTTATATCCCCTCCCTTACAATGTTCGGAAATTTTATTCCAATTTTTTCGCTCATTGCTACCCTGTTCATTTAATCAACTTTTGCCGCAATTGTTATGATGATGACATACTGTATTATGCGCGTGTGTATTGTCTGTGTGGTATTTTTTTTACAGAGCACAATGAATGCATCAGCGGAACCCACAACTGTGACCCCAATGCCATCTGCACCAACACCGTGGGCAGCCACAGATGCACATGTGGCCCCGGTTACATCGGCAACGGAACGACTTGCCAGCGTACGTCCACGCACAATCACACCACTCTGCGTTTTTATGGAAAAAACAATCTGAACTCGGTAATGTCCCAAGGGAGCGTACGGAGTGTTGTGTTAGCAAAGCGAAAGTCAAGTTCAACCGCTATGCTAAGCGATTGTTGATATGTGTCAGAGGGAAAACACAGCAGAGCATGTGGACCTGGAATGGCTATTAAAGGCGAGACGTTAACTACCTTGTCTGGTCTACAGGAGGTCGTGGCTTCGATTCCGACCCTGATGCCTGCTGCTGTATATTTGGAGTTTGCATGTCTCTCTCTCCCCGTGGTCGCGTGGATTTTTTTTCCAGGTCCTCTGGTTTTTTCCTCCACATTTAGAAACACGTTTTTAGATATTTTGTCTTCTACACATTTCAACATGATAGCCAGGTCGCTACTAAAAAAGCGCTATATAGCTCAGTGGGCCTTGCCTGGTAAAACACAAAAGTTTAGTTAGTTTAGACAGCATAACGATGAAAGATCGAGGCGGATGGGAGCAGGTTGGAATGCTTTTGGGAAAACTGAACTTTACAATGAATAGCAACACCGCACGGTGCCTTGAGATGAAATACAAAAAAAAAGTAAAACAAGTCTAAAGTAAAAATTGCTCAAAGCAGCGTGGAGTGTAGAATTCCACTGCGGGACGGATCAGGGAGCCAACCCACATCGGAGATTGCCGTGGGTTTGATTCACCAAACCGCCCGCGATGATTGCCGTGTTCGCTCGCCAAGTTTCCCTCCTGCCAGCCGGCGTCGAGACGGCGCTGCTGCCCGATGCGTCTCTCGGCGACTGGCACGTGGACGTTTGTAAAACATTGCCGTGTGACGCCCCCGCCAGCCGGCCGGCGCATTTTAATGCGATTAATTATTATTTGAAGATGAATTACAACAACTTTTGCCTTGTTTGCCGGGCGGCGGCGGCGGTGGGGGCGGTGGGTGGATTTGCACTGAGAGACGGACAGGGAAAAGCGTGCATGAGAGAACATCCGCGAATCAGAGGCGACGTGCGAACGGTGAGGCGCAGTCCAGAGACGGAGAGAGACAGGGGGTAAGAAGTCCCAGAGACGTTGGCCGGATACCGTTGCCAGAAGGCGTGATGGCCGATGGCCGAGGCAACCGGGAGAGAGGGAACAGGCGAATTATCCCGCCGCTCTGCGTTTCCATCCCGACGACAACGGCAATTGTCTGCGCCGCACTTTATTTACCTCCTGCTTCAGCCGCGGCTAATTGAGGCAACTGAAGCCTGAATGCATAAACCACTGTTTCAGTCCAGACTCAATTAGGCACGCCCGGCGTCAGTAATAAATAAAACATGGGGCGGATAGCACGGTCTGTTAAAGACTGTGCTGGCTTCTCGTAACGAAAGCGCCTCCGCAATTAGAAGAAGATTTACGCGCGGCTATTCCTGTAGCAAACCAATCTTCTTCGTGTGGCTGATGTTGATGTTGAGCAACAACTATAACTTTCTTAATTTTGGAGCTTTCGTGACTGCAGAAATTATTCTTTGGTTTTTTCGGTAAAGTCACGTATACGTGACTTTACCGAAAAAACCAAAGAACTATAACTTTGCAAGCGAAAATGTCCAAAAGACGAAAGTTTTTAATCGGTGCGTACTGCCTGCTTTTACCATGTGGTTCAAAAGCGGGGTCATTGACAACAGAAAAATAAAACGGAACAAAAACCGAAAAGGGTGCAAAGAAGCATGGAGAGATGCACGCTTGGAATTGGATTGAGACGGAAAGGCCAGCAGTTGGCTTAGAGATTATACAAGGGTTCATGACACAATTCAAACTGCTATGAAAAAGCGAATGGGATTACGCAGGATACGTCGCTGGAGGGGATGGTGGTGGATGGTCAGAATCGTGACGGAGTGGCAGCCAAGAAATAAAATGCGCCTTCTAGAGGACGTCCGCCGAGGAGATGGAGTGAGTAAACCAGCATGTCTGCACGTGCTAGGTAGATTGTTGCATTAACGGCTAAAGAGAGATGGTGATGGCTTGGGGAGGCCTTCATCCAGAAGTGGAATGAACTTGGCTCATCACGCTGACGATGGTAACTCCTGTACATGCCACCCATTCACTTGATTGGTTTCCTGAGAGTCTCTGGCACTTACGTTTGACCGATTGCTAAAAGGACAGTGCACCACATTAAATTAATAAACCATTTTACTGGAGGTGGTCAGAAGCCACAGAGGTCACAACACTGCCTCAGAAGCACTGAGATCCTGGCTTTGAATGCGGGCAAGCCCGCCTGTGATTAAACTGAGCTCCCACGTATAGCGTCTTGATGGTGTCAGCCTGGTCTCAAATGTCTGAACAACAACAACACCCAGCAAATTAAATGTCGTTTTCAACTTCACAAATGTCACCTCTGACACCTAAAAACATTTCAGCCTAAAGTGAATTCAGATGTAGTTCTGTTACGTCACGTTCCCCCAGGGCAGTTCTTCAGAAACACGCTGATGCCACTGCTAACTGATGGAGATTGGAGTGTAATTTGTGCAGCTGCCAAAGCCTCGTAATTAAACGGCTCAAATGATGTAGGTTGCACGTTGCACCATTTCTTATACGAACCTTTAATTGCATTAACCATCCACCACTTTGGTTTCACTTCCATTTATAACGCAGGCACACACACAAAAGGCTTTTACATTTCTTTTTAAAGGCATGAGGGTGGTCGGGGCATTGTGCCGCAGCCACAATGACTGAACTGTAATTTGTAACATGGAGTGCACTGCGGGTAGGACTTCAATTCTTTTAAGTGGCACAATCAGCGATGATCCAGGCAAGCCCTTTTCTCTCTAATTGGTTTGGTCGTGGTAGAGGACACCTATGGATTATCATAAGCTGCAGAAAAGGTTGCCTTTGCTGTGACAGAGCAAATGTCCTGACCCTCGAATCGTCATATAGTGAGCAGACCTCTGTTTAACGCCACTGTATTTCTGGAAGGCTCATCCGTGCCTTAGTTAGTTGCCTTGAGTCAGCGAGCAGCCTTCCTCTCTCTCTCTGACGTTTGGCAGCAGCCTAGTGGCTCATAGGCACCAACCTACTCCCTTTCAAACCCCCCGGATCACTGCACAGGCAGCAGCACCAGGACAAATCTGTCTGTCCGCCTGATGATGCTGGTTGTAGTTACTGGCAGGCGAAAACGTCGTACTCGAATTGCAAATGCTGTGGGTTTACTCTCAAATATACTGGTGTTGCTGAACCAGTAACTAATGGGCACGTTTTGTTTACGTGACAAAATTACTAATTGGCTGTGTCGGGGTGGTGTCAGGTTTAGCGGTACGTTTATATTTACGCGATCGAACCCATAAACCTTTATTGTAGATCAGGATGGTGCTTAAGCAATGGGGACGGATCGGTCGGCTCGCCGTCGTAAAACTGCACGTCGATGTTGACCGGATTGAGCATCAATTGCAGTTTTCGTAATGTGAGAGAAGTATGTCCAGGAGGTTTGCTTACAGCTGTCGGTGCTTGTGCCAGGAAGGAAAACCCTTCTTCTTAGAGACACATGTATGTATGTTGAACTTCTATTGCACCTTATTGTTGCGAACCGTGCTAATCAGAGGTGCAAGGGAAGGACAGCAAATCAAACACAAAAATCAGTTCTCAAGAAAATAATTTTCAGTCTAAATTTTAATAGTGCATAGCTCCAGTGGCGTCCTAGGAAGAGCGTTCCAGACGGCCGCAGAAGCGCATCTGAAAGCGTTCGATGCAGTCAATGTCTTTTGTTCGACGGTTAGCCAAAAAGCCACTGTGAGGATGACCGGAGTTTGCGTGATGGTTTATGCTTCTTGACGAGATCAACGAGGCACTACGGTTCATTTGTGGCAAGCACTTTGTGCGGATTGAGTGCGACCTCAAAATGTATTTGTTCAGCAATCGTAAGCTAATGCAGCTCAACGAACACTGGAAGGACATGGTCGGATGTTGCAGTACTCATCCGTTCATTGAAAACAACGTATTGCAGTGTAATGCAATGAATCCTTTGGAAACACACTGAGAGGTAGAGAAATATTCAAGAATTTAATTTCAAATTCTTTAAAAGATGGAAGTGGACCTGGGCAGCACACATCACGGGAATGGGGGTGTATGGCCGATGGACACAAGTGCTGGGTAGAGTGGCAGCCGAAGGAGACAAAGCACCCAGCAGGATGACCACCACTGTGCACATCCACGAGAGAGACAGATATGTGGCATCACAGGGCTGTCCCGAATGTCAGTGACATACGCGGGGAGTTCTTTATCCAAGTTTGGATAGAACATTGCTAACAATGACGATGACGATGACGATTATGATGATGATGTTGAAGAATTTCGATTTAAAGCTTTCGTGACTGCAGGGATTCATCTTGTTGGCTCTTTCGGTAAAGTCACGTAGAAGGGAAATAATAAAATAATAAAAATAAAACATAATAAAGACAGACGCTGTCTTTCCGACAGACCTGTTCTTCACCTGAGGACGGCTGCTTGCGTTGTGGCCGAAACGTCGTGAGAATTATTTTTTATTACGTTTTATTTTAATTCTTTCATTATTTCCCTTCTACGTGACTTTACCGAAAGAACCAAGAAGATGATGTTGAAGAAGATGATGATGAAATCAATTCTGCTTTTAGTTTGACTTTCCCCACCCTTGTCTGCCCTGGACTCCGCACGCAACTCCTCCCCACGGCGGTCCCAGCCTTCTGCGACGGCGGCTGTAAGAATGGAGGGAGCTGCATGTCCCCCAGCGTCTGCCTCTGTCAGTCCGGCTTCAAGGGCGAGCTCTGCGAAACCGGTGAGTGCCTCCGATGCTGTGCGCTTCCACAGCCATTCAATATGAGAGCCGAGCTGCGGCCGGTCCTGGGCCTCCCCTGAGTCGACTGAGCCTCAAAAAAGTACCCAATGCGGTGGGTGTGTCAACATCGCCACTTGATAGACAAAGGCGGCCAGGCGTGGTGCTGGCCACCCACCCCATCGTCTGTCATGCCGGCTTTCATAGCTGCTACTCGTGAACAGCACTTGCCCCAACAGTCTGTTGAGGCTATACGGGGGATTTTGGTCTTTCTTTGTTGGATGAAGTGGCAGGATGGGCAAGTCTTGTGGATAAGCACTCTTTATTACTTATCACGGTCCCCGTGTCATGCTCTGCCTTGGGGTTAATTTCAATGTGAAAACTCCACCTCAGGCTTTCCTGGGCTCTCGATGAAACGGGTTAAATAATGGCACGTGGAAGGCTTGCCTGTGAGTTGAGCGTTGGCCCTCTCATTACCGTGTTGCATTGGCGTGGGGAAATTTAGTAGGACAGGCCTCCGCTAGAGCATTCAATCATCCATACCGAGTGCTGTAATGAGACAGTTCAAGTTCAGTTGATTTAGAGCACCTGAGTGATTAGTAGTTGTCTTATAAATACCGACCCGTGAGTCACACCTTGAATAATGCGGCTGATTATTTAATCAAGAGGGAAGAGGTGCCACAGTGCTACTACTGCTGTGCTATGAACCTTGCAACTCGAATTCGAATTCCAGCGACGGCCAACAGTGGTGAGTGATATCTCTATGGCGAGCGACATTTAAACAGGTCCTGGGTCCTGCCTTCGCCAACCCGATACGACCAGCGTGGCGATCAAGATGCCATCAGTGGCCCAAAGCCACTGATGCCACGACGTTTCGCCAACACTTTGTACCCTCCGCCAGATCCCCGCGCAGACGCTGCAGAGTCGACATGCGATCTGCCCCTCCCAGGCAGGTCCTATCCCACCATCTGGCCTTGCACGTGTTCCCTTTGGTCGTCTGGCGGAGATTTGGTTAAACAAAAAAACAATGAGGAGGCCTTCATCTAGACTTTGATTGCACCCGCCATCTAAATCATTTCTCGTTTGTAGCGTTTTTTTTTATTATGTTCAGCCCATATTCTTTGGGTCTTTCGATAAAGTCGCGTAGATAGGTTCAAAGAAAAGAACAAAAGACTACGATGTTTCGATCGCAACACAAGCGATCGTCATCAGGAGGGAAAAAAGAGTTAAGCCCCTTGATGAAAGGCATTCTCAACATATATAATAAGATAAAAAGATTAGATTAAATAGTCTGTAAATAATTGCTCCATTATTATCATTATTTAATCCAGAAATGCCAATAGCATCAGAGAAAGAATAAGTAATTCTACCTGCTTTGCAGATATTGTGGAATAAATTGCATTCCGATAATGGATTTTGCCACGAAGATCACTTCTCAAGACAACTCCATTACGCTCTGCCAACTGATCATCAGTTTAATAAGAACGCATGATTATTTTATAGCCCTTTGCAAATCCACTGCTGGATTAGGGCCACCCCCACACAGTGTCGGTCATGGGGGTCGTTTGACTGTACCTCACCACTCTGGTCAGTGCGGGTTTATGTATGGTTGGGGAGGGATAGTACCGCTTTAGTTACCAATCACCAGGCCCAGAGGCCCAAAACGCAAAGCAGCCAGCAACAAACATCACTGCTGAAGCTGCAATAGATCATTGCGTTTATAAATTGCTGTCAAGTACCTTGGAATAAAGCACTTTAATCCGAGGCACTTTACAGCAATTAGAAAATTGTACATAAGATGATAGTGGTTGAAATAAAGAGTGGAGTTATTAAAATTGGTGGTGTAGTTATTTATGGTGACAGGAGCACAGGTGGGAGTGGTGAAGGAGAGGTTTGTGTAGGGTCTGGTACTGGTAGGAACCTCCTGGTTACACCAGCCCACAGGGGATTATTGTGTCCGTCCGTTGTGCAGGGAGGGGCTGGGTAGGGAGGGAGGGGCTGGGTGGGGAGGGGAGGGTGGGGAGGGGCTGGGTGGGGCTGGGTGAGGGGTGGGAGGGGTGGGGCTGGGTGGGGAGGGAGGGGCTGGGTGGGGAGGGAGGGGCTGGGTGGGGAGGGGCTGGGTGGGGAGGGTGGGGCTGGGTTGGGAGGGAGGGGTGGGTGGGGAGGGGCTGGATGGGGAGGGAGGGGCTGGGTGGGGAGGGAGGGGCTGGGTGGGGAGGGGCTGGGTGGGGAGGGTGGGGCTGGGTGGGGGTGGGAGGGGTGGGGCTGGGTGGGGAGGGGCTGGGTAGGGAGGGGAGGGGCTGGGTGGGGAGGGTGGGGCTGGGTGGAGGGTGGGAGGGGTGGGGCTGGGTGGGGAGGGGCTGGTCACCCCGTGGTGTCCTTATAAAACTCAACGTTTAACCTATTTACGCCGGCTTGTGCCCGCCCTCACAGTCGGGCATATTTGCAGAATACACCACGCCGCCGTTGACCCTGGCCATTGACCGAGCAACCCAACGTTCCTACCAGCTCCTTCCGCAGGACAATGTGTTTATAGCTGGGGGTGGAGGTTAGGGAGTAGCAGGAGGGGTAGTGATAGGGGTTGGGGTAGTGATAGGGGTTGGGGTAGTGATAGGGGTTGGGGTAGTGATAGGGGTTGGGGTAGTGCTAGGGGTTGGGGTAGTGATAGGGGTTGGGGTCGTGATAGGGGTTGGGGTAGTGATAGGGGTTGGGGTAGTAATAGGAGTTGGTGCAGTGATAGGGGTTTGGGTAGTGATAGGGGCTGGGGTAGTGATAGGGGTTGGGGTGGTGATAGGGGTTGGGGTGGTGATAGGGGTTGGGGTAGTGATAGGGGTTGGGGTAGTGATAGGGGTTGGGGTAGTGATAGGGGTTGGGGTAGTGATAGGGGTTGGGGTAGTGATAGGGGCTTGGGTAGTGATTGGGGTAGGGGTAGTGATAGGGGTTGGGTATTGATAGGGGCTGGGGTAGTGATAGGGGTTGGGATAGTGATAGGAGTTGGTGCAGTGATAGGGGTTGGGGTAGTGATAGGGGCTGGGGTAGTGATAGGGGGTAGTGATTGGGGTAGGGGTAGTGATAGGGGTTGGGTAGTGATAGGGGCTGGGGTAGTGATAGGGGTTGGGATAGTGATAGGAGTTTGGTGCAGTGATAGGGGTTGGGGTAGTGATAGGGGTTGGGGTAGTGCTAGGGGTTGGGTAGTGATAGGGGTTGGGGTCGTGATAGGGGTTGGGGTAGTGATAGGGGTTGGGGTAGTAATAGGAGTTGGTGTCAGTGATAGGGGTTTGGGTAGTGATAGGGGCTTGGGGTCGTGATAGGGGCTGGGGTAGTGATAGGGGTTGGGATAGTGATAGGAGTTGGTTGCAGTGGATAGGGTGGGGTAGTTATGGGTAGGGGCTTAGGGGCTAGGGGTAGTGATAGGGGTAGGGGTAGTGATTGGGGTTAGGGTAGTAGTGATAGGGGTTGGGTAGTGATAGGGGCTGGGGTAGTGATAGGGGTTGGGATAGTGATAGGAGTTGGTGCAGTGATAGGGGTTGGGGTAGTGATAGGGGTTGGGGTGGTGATAGGGGTTGGGGTGGTGATAGGGGTTGGGGTGGTGATAGGGGTTGGGGTGGTGATAGGGGTTGGGGTGGTGATAGGTGTTGGGGTGGTGATAGGGGTTGGGGTGGTGATAGGGGTTGGGGTAGTGATAGGGGTTGGGGTAGTGATAGGGGTTGGGGTAGTGATAGGGGTAGGGGTAGTGATAGGGGTTGGGTAGTGATAGGGGTTGGGGTAGTGATAGGGGTTGGGTAGTGATAGGGGTTGGGGCAGTGATAGGGGTTGGGGTAGTGATAGGGGTTGGGGTAGTGATAGGGGTTGGGGTAGTGATAGGGGTTGGGGTAGTGATAGGGGTTGGGGTAGTGATAGGGGTTGGAGCACAGTGCGCTAACCACTGCGCCAAAATGCTCGCTCCCCCCCCGCCATAGTCGGTGGAGGTTTTTGAAAACGACCTTTTTGATGAAAATTTGTGCAGGATGTTTTCCGTGAGATTGTCGCGAAATCGGACATGACCTCCCCGCCTCAGTGCTCGCAGCAGCAAGCACATGGATAGAGCACCACCACGCACTCCCTCCCCTAAGTGGCATCGCGTGTTCACCATGATTTAGTGATGACGTTCGCAAGAAGGCAGAAATAACCCTTGCGAGCGCAGTGCAAAAAGAAACTCTTCAATTGTACGTGATCACAAAAACGCCATCAGTAGGCTTTCATTGTTACCATTACACGCTTATTTACAACTCTTGTTATTGCAGTTTTCTCGAGACGCTCACATTTGCTTCAAAGGCATTTAATGTCAGTGCTCGTTTTCTCAGCATAATCGTGGGTATCGTGTGTGCTGTAAAGTTGTTTTTTTTCTGAAACAAAATAACAAAATCTTAAGCCCATCTCCGTTAGATGGCCTTCATTACACGTTGTTTCAATTGCTTCCTCGATATGCCTTCACAGCAAGTGTGCTTTGCAATAAACCGTCTGCTTCGTCAAGCAGGGACGATTGAAGCTTAGCTTTGTTAGCTATTTCGAAATTTTTTTTTCAATTGTTTATTTTCTTTTAACGAATTTACACCGCCTCTCACTTGAAACCGAGAGGTGTCTGCAGCCAATGTAAGAAGTCACCACGCACAGTGGCAGCGTCTTTGCGTGCATGCCACAGCAAACACGGCTACGTCGTATCTCCGATGTGCTTTCGTGTTGTCCCGCCCGGCGTCCGGTACAAATGTCTGACGTTTCGCCGCCCGTCCTGAGAAGCTTCGGATTACTTCCTGAAGAAGCGGGCGAGGCGAAACGTCGGACATCGCGCCGAACAGCATGCGGTAGAGGAAAAGATCCCTTGTATAGCCTTAACAGACTGTAGGGACAAGTGCTGTTAGCGAGCACCTATGAAGGCCGGAACGGTACACGAGGGGGTGGGTGGCCAGCACCACGCCCGACCGCCTTTGTCTCCCTAGTGGCAATGTTTACACACCGCACCAGGT